ATGACTGCACCAACCCGTCTGAGATCATGCAACGGTTTTCATTTCACTGATTTTTTTTTTTACCACAAACACAGGGGTAATTAAAGGATTCTGAGACAGTTCAATGTAATCAGCATCACAATCCTAACCCTTGGAATGACTACAGAATGACTACAGAAGTTTGTCTGTTTGGACAATTAACAGCAAACTTTGAGCATCACAAAGAGTACAGGTTGCCTTCGCACAACCCTAAACATTCACTAGTCAAATTATGCAAGCAATATGTCTGGTATGAAACAAGTAGTAGTCACAAGTAGTGAGGTTATTTTGCTGAGAACACAGCTGCAATGGGTAGGGCATGTTTTAAGGAGGAGAGACTACCCGTTTTACAATGAATATTGCTACCAGCTGTTGCACGGGAGGGGTTTTGAAGACAATATATAAGAACTCTTTAAAACAACACTTCAGCTCTGGTCACACTGATCAACGTAACTGGTCTGCTCTGGCCTCCAGCCAGGAGGCCTGAAGACACACTCTCCACAGCGCTGCAGATGTTTTTGAGAAGGCACGCAGGATGGCCTTGACAGTCTGCAAGGGCCCCCCTGCAACGAGCTGAACAAGCAAGGCAGCAACATCGACAACTCCTGATCTAAATCCTGGAAAACACAGAAAAGCTCAAAACGACCCTCACTACTGCCATAGCAGATGCAAATGCAATTATTTGATGGCCTAAGGACCCCACCCTGGCACAAGCCTGCACTATCTCTAGCTAGTTGTGTAACTAGCAGCTGCTGTAACTGTCACAAAACCTGTTTCTCTACAGCGTCTTGCAGCTTTTCCACGAATTGTAAGAATGGTTCCCGGGCACCTGGATGCATAGTGGTGCACCTTGCTCCGGGCTCTGCTAACCTTGCAGTCTGCACTAATGTTTGCTGGCTTATGGTTTTTACTCGCTCTAAAACTAGTGGTCTCCTGTGCAGCTCGCACAGCTAAGGAATGATAGCAGTGGAAAAACTCCACCTGAGACTTAACTTGCATAGATTTCATACAAGGCTGTAATAGAATACCAAATTTTTGTAAGAATCTCTTATTTAACTTCAGTCTTAACACCTTGTTAAAATCTCAACACCTTGTTAAAATCTCAACACCGACGGAAAGTATTTTTAAGTTTACACAGTCGCATATTCATGTAGCTTTTCTTTTTCACACAATCTTTTTCCATACACTCTTAGGTGGCCACCTCAGACATCCATCATTCACACACACATTTTCAAGTAGTCATTGGCTGTGTGCTTCTTATCAGTTTCATAATTCAAAGGAAATTTATAGCATAGCTGCCAACAGTAATCTGCAAATCCTGCATAATTCTTCATGTAAAAGACAAATGCAGCAAGAAAGAACAGGATATTATCTTGGAAATTTTCAACCCTTCTTATAGAGCAATGATATTCTGTCATAAAGGCAATAAAACTACTTCTGCAGGGGGCAGAACTATATCCCCTTTTGTCTCATCGTTCCGTCTGCAAACCTTCTACCCGCACTCTGCCCCCGAGGGAAACAGCCAAATTTCATGTAAGAGAAGCAAAATGGCAAACTATAGGAAATTCCTAACAACTTTCTGCAATATATAAAAAACTAAGCACGGATGTTGCGTTATTTCTAATCTTACTTCAAGGGATTTTTCGTCAGTCTCCCTTTCTTTTTTTGAAGAAAACGTTTGAGAATGCTATGAACACGCTGCATGCGTAACACCTATTGCTGTAAAAACAGTGCAATCTTATTTGATTTATAAGTTGGGGTATTGTTAATCTTAAGTTGTTTTTTCCCTTTTTCCTTTTTACCGTGCTTTACCGTCTTTGCCCCCCCCACGCCCCTCATTGCCGAAGGAGGAGGATGAGGGGCCGGGCTCACCCAGAGAAAATCAGCAGAAGGAACTTAACCTAATCACAGGGTCTGCTTAAGAAAAGACAAAAACATAGGAGAGGGAGAAAACAGCTGCAAACAGGCACGTTTCAGAGAGGGGGTGATTGGTGTAACGAGGAAAAAAGAGAAACAGCTTCCCCCCCTCCCCCGACTGCACCTCCCGAAGCCTTTGCTACCGTCATTAACTCGCCACTCTAGGAAGAGGAGCGGCACTGGGGAAAAAACATTCGCTGTAAAGAAGGGGAGGGGAACCTACACCTCTTGGGCCCATGGCTGTCAGCAGTGCGGGGGAAACAGAGCCCCCCCCACCGCCCGCTCCGAGCCGGGGCCGCGCACGGCGCCGCGACCACCGCCACTGCCCCGCAACCACCGCCACTGCCCCGCGACCACCACCACTGCCCCGCCGCCCAGCACCGCCCCGGGGGCACTCAGCACGGCAGCGCAAGCACCCAGCGCCGTGAACACAGCCACAAATGCGCAGCGCAGTCCCGCAGCACAGTTCAGATGAAAAGCTGGAAACGTCTTAAGGTGGAACTCAGTCACAGTGTTCGTAAAGTTCATCCCCGGTCCATCAGCAGTACTTTCACTCCGCAGCCGTCGTCCCCGATCGTCCTGGATTTGCACTGCCGAGACGCTAGCACCGCGTTCATTTTGCCGGGGCCGCTCCGTGATCTCTGGTCCCACTCCGGCTCCCTTCAACTCCGCTCGACTCCCTTTTTGCACGATTTCTCCGTCTGATGGCATCTAGTAGCATTCTAATGTCCTCAAACTGTGCTTTAATGTCTTTTACTGTTCCAGATAACAATCGCCAAGTTGTAAGGAGGGAAGCAGCAACTTTTTCTCCCTTAGAGTCAGCAGTAAAGAGCTTATCACCAACTTCTTTCCAAGTAGAGATAGTAAAGGCAGTTACAGCGTTCGTTTCAAATCCCTGGCCCTTACACGAAAGCAGCATCTGTTGCAAAGCCAGTTCGTCTAATTTTTCTCTTTTTTAAGCAGGATAGACTTCCATATAGATGCAACATTAGATCCCTCTTTTGCTAAGAGTTGTCCCCTTCATCAAAAACTGTATTAGGGTCCACAAAACAACCTTTAGCAACCCCTGCCGCAAGCAATCCTGGTAATTCTTTTTTCAAATCTATACCCTTAAGTCCCCGCTTTTCTAAAAAGCACTGGAGTAATAAAAGCACCGCTTGTCTTTCCATACCTATAAATCTTCAGCGCGCTGTTGCAGCCCTTTGAAGACGTCGGCTGCGTTGTCGGCCGAGACCCTCCTATGAGGTCGCTCGGGGCACGGAGTCCAGCTCTTTTGCCTCTTGTGCTGCTGCAAGACCAACCGGCTACTGCGTCGGACCGTGGCTTCGGGGAGTGCAGATTTAACTTAGCTCCCGTTCAGGTTTCGGGGACTGCAGATTCAACTTAGTCCCTGGGACTGCAGATTTAACTTAGTCCCTGGGGCTATAGATTTAACTTAGCCCCTGGGGCTGCAGATTTAATTTAGCCCCTGTTCAGACTTCGGGGACCGCGGGTAACCCAGCAGGATATTCCTTATCGTCCCTTGTTCGGCGCCATTATGTCGCAACGAGGGAAGAGAGGGACACTCAATATGAGAATCAGCAAACTTCGTTTATTGATCACTGCTAACAGCTTAATATACGCTTTATAATTAGCTCATACATATTGCAAAAGCCAAGCTCATTATTGGTTCTCGCTTAAATGTTGATTCCACTTTTACTCCCTTCTTTTGTTGACACAGGTGGCTCTTAGTTGCTTTTGTTTTGCTAATCACAACGTCCTGTTTACCAGCCAACTAGCAGGCACAAAAAAACTGTAGCCTTGCCATGGCCTTACTATCTCAGATCTTCTCACGGGCCTAGACAGGCCGTGTTCTATACTCTAACAACTCATCCATAGCTTTAGCTATATCCATATGTCCTTGTCTTGCTAGCCAGCCCTCTACAGGTCCCCCCTGTCCCCCATCACTTGAGCCCTGGAGCGGTTCCGGGGGGCTCTGGGAGGGGGTAGATCCGCACTGGGAATGTCCACTGCTTCTGTAACCCTTTGTGTGCTTGCTCTGGTCACGATTGCCCACAGGTGCCCAACCCCCCTGTCCATCCCTGGGGGGCTGATGGGGGACTCCCCCACCCAGTAACTGGTGCTGCAGCAGCTGTGGGGCAGAGGGGGGTGGGAAAGGGGGGTCCGGGGTGGCCCCCTGAGCTCCCAACCTGCTGGGGGGGCACCCCCTGACCTGTGTCCCTGCACACCCAGGGCTGTTCCAGGTCCTGGGAAAAGCTGAGTGAACGGCCCCGACCGGGAGAGGTTCCTGCCCGGGTACATCTACAACTGGGAGCAGCTCAGGCTCTTCAGCAGAGATTTGGGCACCTGGGGGGGGACACCCTGTGTAGGGAGACCCAGGCCAGGCACTGGAACAGCCAAGGGGAGTTCCTGGAGAACAGACAGGATCAGGGGACATGAACTGCTGGCACAACTATGAGAACGTGGCCCCATTTGCCCAGCCTGGGAACCCCCATTTTGGGGTAATCTCCCCCAAATCCTCCCAAATATTCCCCTGAATCCCCAAATGCCCCCAAATCTCAGTAAAATGGTGAGGCTTTAGATGTCTTTGTTGAATGTCTTTGGTTTAAATTCAACAAATCAGCTCTTCCCAATGAATTTCCAAGGTCAGTTTGTGACCCCCTGGATGTTTCTCCCACTTTGTTCACGCGGGTGCCCGTGGGGAACAAGGAGGATGTGGAGACCACCAGCCAGGTGTCTTCCCAACGTGGATGCTCCAATGGGTGATGGAGTTGGAGCAGCAGACAAAGCTTTTCCCACAGTCAAGGCACCTTTAGGGCTTCTCTTACTGGTGGGTCCTTTGGTGTGAGGTCAAGCCAGAGCTCTGGGTGAAGCTCTTCCCACACTCGTCACACACGTAGGGCCTCTCCCCGCTGTGGATGTGCTGGTGGGTGACAAGGTGGGAGTTGCGGTTGAAGCTCTTCCCACAGTGGGTGCAGAGGAAGGGTCTCTCATCTGTGTGAGTCCGCTCATGCAGGAGGAGATTCCCACTGCTCTGAAACCTCTTCCCACATTCCAAGCACTTGTAGGGCCGTTCTCGGGCGTGGATGATCTGGTGGGTGAGGAGGTGGGAGCTCTGGCGGAAGCTCTTCCCACATTCCCCACACGTGTAGGGCCGTTCTCCCATGTGGATGTGCTGGTGGGTGAGGAGGGCTGTCATGGTTTGAGATAGCCCCAAAATCCTAATTCCCTAGTCTAAGCCCCATCCCACATCTCAACCTAATGTGAGCTCTTGATGAAGCTCTTCCCACATTCCAAGCACTTGAAGGGCTTTTTCCTAGTGGGAGGCTGCTCATGGACCTCCTGGTCGCAGTCTGGCTCAAGCTCTCGCCGCCTTCCCGGCACAGGCTGGCTCTTTCCTCCTCAGAGCACCCTGGGCTGGCTTTGGAGCCCCTCCTCCTGGGGGACCTTCGTGGCTTTCCCTCCCCGCTGCCTTCCTGCACCGTGGAGCCCTTCAAAACGGCCTCTCCCGCCAGGCTCTGCCGGGGGGATTTGTCCTCCGTGCTCTCCGTCCTCAGTTCGGGGTCTGGGGCAGGAAGGAAGAAGGACAGGGAGGGGATTTGCCTCCGGCCCA